ATTCCTGTCTAAAACTGGTCAAAAATTTTAAAATCTATAAACTGTTGCATCTTTCCAAATGTATATCTCATCAGTAATTTCTGTGAATAAGTGAAAGTATTATCCAAGCGTTCTTCACTCGTAAAACTTATTTCAACTTAAGTGGAAAACTGCAAATTATTTTTAATTGATATGTGCCATAGTCTTTTTATCCTGTTAGCACTGTAGTTCGCGAGCATCTATCAGGTCTTTAATAGCTTAAATGAGGGAATGAGTGCCCAGAGGTCTATAGGAAACTGTACGTTGCATTGAACGAGGTGGCCATCACTTTCATCTATATGGATCAAGCGTTCGTAGATATATAACAAAAGGAAGTAGTCATTCAATAAAAAATGATCTCAGTCTATTCAGCCATGGAAGGTAGTATAGAATCCAATCCTCTGTAAAACTAATTGGATTAGAGGCTCTCATGAGCTTGATTGCAATTTCAGACAAAAACCTATTCATTGTCACTTTATTATTTGATCCGCAAAATGAAGTAGAGAAAATAAAGGCACATGTGAACACCTGAATAAATAAAACTTTCATTTGGACTTCATTTGTTTTCCGAAGGCGCCGCCCCCGGCGCTACTTTGAATTTTCGTTTCACAATGACATCGGTCGGCGTTCCCATTAAGGTATTGCATGATGCTGAAGGGCACGTAATAACGCTGGAAACAATAAACGGGGAGATATTCCGAGGAAAACTTATTGAAGCTGAAGATAATATGAACGTTCATCTGCAGGATATTATCATGACTGCCAGGGACGGAAAAACGTCGAGCCTTCAACATGTTTATATTCGGGGAAGCAAAATCAGGTTTGTGCATCGGTTTTCGAGTGATGTGAATTTTTAGATTTCTAATTTTGCCCGATATGCTTAAAAACTCACCGATGCTCAAACGCCCTCTCGGTGCACGTGGCCTCGGCACAGGACGCGGGAAAAACGTTATTGTCAGGGCTGGAGGTAAATTACTATTTAATTGTCAACTCATTAATATTTTTAGTTCGCGGAAGAGCTCGTCCACTTCGTGGTGCTCGGGGCGCACCTCCAGCTCCAGCTTTTCGACGTTGAGAATAGACGCTGAGTTGTACAAAGTCCGCATTTTTATTAAACTTTCTTATGAACTTGTGTTGCTCTGTGCTTCAGTTATTTTTATAACGTTTTGACTCAGATTAGAAATATTTGGAATCGGTACAGTCAGCTGAGCTGCATAGGTCGCACTATTTATCCGTCCTTCGCACCTTTCTAGATAATCCATCTTCCCACAAAAAGCCGAGCTACTGTTTCGTTTGTGGGCTAATTTGCCAGGCTTATTCAAAGTGCAAGGTTTTCTTCCCTAGTCTACGTTTCCTTCAGTTAGCGTATCGTCTCATGTCGACCATTTTTCGGTTACAAGTGTTTTTGTTGTCATGCTGTTTGCATACCCAAATTCGGCACCGCAATCAACTCAAACGGATTATAACGTCGTGGTCGTAAGTTTAAAAATGCCCTTCGGACATTCCCCTCTGCGCTGTGAAATCCCTTTTCCTGTATGGTGACATTAATGTTATCTTATACAAAGATTATTTCTACAGAAACTCAATTAGTAGATCAATAGGACGGGTTTCTGAACTAAGCTCTATAAAATTTAATGTTGATAATTTTAGCAATCTGTCTGTCATTCGACTTGAGTTGAAATGCAGAATAATGTCTGCAGTTATCTTCATCATGTGCATGGCTATATAATGCTTGTTTCTTTATACCTTTAAATTTTATGGTTTGCGTTGACATTTGGTTCTGACATCATGGTCTGTTTTGTAGTTGCTGATAACTACGCTTTAACTCTACACAGAATCTGATAGGCCACTTAAAAAGCTCGATTTTGGTCCGCGTGACAGCTGTGGGATAGTTCCCGGTCTATCCAATTTTAGACCGTCTTAGGTGATCTTTCGCCTTCCTGAGCGAACAATAATTACCCCATCAGTATAATTGTCCCAATAGAACCTCTCATTTGATATCTGATGCCGGCAAAATACATGCCTGAAAACTACAAGCAAATTGCTACGGACCGCCGCTTCTTTGTCTGCATGATAGCTAGTCCAATAAGTAACAATCTCATGTCTTCTTAAGACGCTATTTTTGCCTTCAATCGAGAAGCTTCTTTCTTTATGGTCGCCTTACGGCCTGCACTTAGATCTTGTACGATACCATCTATCTCATTTGTGAACGATGACTGCTGTCGCTGTATCCACAAAAATCTACGTATATGAAGATTATGAATTATGTGTATTAGCCTCCATGAGTACAGAGAGGGAATCCGTGTTGATTGCAAAACTTGTGCGCTGTGTAGGGTGAACAAGTTCTTCCTATATAACGCTGTGTTTCGGCTTATACCACTGGCACTTTTGATCTGCATATATTAATAAGTAGAGGTTATATAGATTTGGAGGCTTGGACTCAAATATCGAGGGCGTAATAATGTGAATAAAGGATTGTTCGACCATCCGAAATGGAATTTATATTTCGAGCCTGCACACTAGTCAGTCATGTGAGACAGAAAACGTCAAATATTAGACAGTCTCCAGACCAATCTCTTGTCAATGTCGTTCCTAAGGTGATATCGCAATGCTTAAATGCTACTTTTCGGTGTCTGGCACCCTCCTCTAAGTCGTGTTGAAGTCACTTTGAAGGTAGGTAGATTCCACTGCAGCAGCTCTGAGATCACCTTTACGAAGTATTCGTTAGACACTTTAAATGGGTGCTGGAGTACTGGCCCATTCAAGAATGTGACCGAGAGTTGGTGTTTTTGGATGTAACCATAAAAATTGATAACCGAAGCCGTCGCGCCAGAGTTAAGCAAATCAGTTTGCGATTACCATACGCACTCGGCAGCCCAGATTAAGGTCTCCCTAGGCAATAGTTAATAAGCTGGCCTTATTGTGAGATTCTATGCCTCAAGTCTTTGGCTTCAATAGACGAACTCGAAAGGGAAGCCATGATCATTAACCTTGTTGCAGATCATCCGGTACAGTGCACAGTTGTTAAGTTGATCCTTTAGGCATTGCAATCGAATTCGTTAAGGTCTGACAATAAACTTCCGCAAAAGTCAGCTGTGACTGGACAGTAACCCGGCATTACTTAAGATAAGCCAAGAATAAAAATCTGACATTGACAGGCAACGAATATCACTTTTTGATAAAATCAGCCTGTAGCGTATTCCAAGTCTTGAAATTAGTTCCTCGAACTCTTACAAGCGGAAGCCGACACGAACGGTAATGAGTTGAGTCCAACATAGCACATACCTTCTCAGATGTTACCTATTAATGTCGCCCCAGCCACACTCAAAAAGAACAAAACCAGTACGACTAGTTTCATTGCTTTATTGGTGGATAAGCAGTGAGTCTGTAGGAGTTGAGTCGCCGAAATATATTAGTAGCTCAGATCTTCTAGGTCGTTTTCTGCTGGCAGCCACTAGTAGAAATCGGCAGCTGTCTTACTGTATATCTAAGCACCCCTTTATATGAACTAAGTTATTTCCTGCTATCAGGAGAAACTAGCTAAGTGCCTTGACTGCTTCCGAGCTAAATCAGTGGCCAGCTAGTCGCCACAGGTGACTCATATTTCCGTTTGACCAGAACATGTATGAGGCCCTGGGGGACGTAGTGTGTGTTCTATCTCAGCCAGCCTGACCGCCAATTATCCAAACATAGAGCAGCTCTCGTCTGTTTAAATAAACCAGTAAGGGTCTTTCTGAACTCGATGGAGTGGGCCGTCTTCCAACATAATAAGCTGGATTTTGCACTTAATGTGTCATAATGAAAAGTATACTTGAATACTACACGAGATTTTGAGAGCACGATTGATGCAGCTCTCTGCGTCTCAGTAGGAAGTAGGATTATGGCTGATAACTATGACGCGCTCGACTCTACTACGACGCGGTAAAAGTCGTGTATTGGAAAATTATTAACTACTGGGGTAAGCTGTCATGAAGACTGTCTCAACTAGTGCCTCGACTGCTTTCTAAGCACACTGGGTGCGGACTCAATTCTAGATGTACCCTACAGGAGAGAAGGCCGGTAGAGTGATTTCATTGTTCTAAGAGATTAGAGTGAAGGAAACCATCACAAGAACCCATGGACACCACAGTCGTCTGCAGCTGCAGACGAGAATGAGGCAGCCATAAGTGCAACGATCGCAGAATCGTCTCCCTCAGCTATAACCTAAATAAGCACCTCCATAAATTTAGTTATGATTCTGGAAAATCTGAGAATAGTAGATATAGTGAATGTATGTGTATCGCCGATCTAGTAAAGGAACAATTAAGTTCCGATTTGCCCAGGAGCTCGCAACACAAGCCCTCCAGACCGTCACCTAGTGACTAAGTTGAT